TGGGGGACAAAGAAAGTCCTTCCTCTGTAACACAGATGAGTACAAAATTATTGTTGTCCCCATTCTGGTTTGGAATAAAGAATGTTGAAAGGGGAGTCTCTGCACTTGTCAAATTGGTCATTTATTAACTCCTACCCTTCTTCTCAGCCCTGCTATCCTCCACACCCCTGCATTTCTTTTATTTTTCTATGTTGTGTAAAAAGGTTTTCCCAGAGGATGATGTTAAGATTGGTCCTAGGAAGGACACACTTGGCTATTTAGATCAATGAAAGTAACTGTATTAATAATCATGGAAGATCCCTGGGAAGGGAAATTTACCTTGGCTCTTGTGCATTTGTATTTGGGATGGTCAGATTGTGTGCTGCTGGTAAAATGAGCCAGTGTCCCTTCAGTAGCAACCTCCTGTTTGCCTTTCTGGTCTCTGCTGCCTACCTTACCCCCTAGTCTGCTTTTGCCAGTTATCTTATTCTGAATGTTTAATTTCACATCTGACTTTTTAATTCATTAATTCTCAACCTATTGCCTGACATGCAGAGATCTAGAACTCCTCCCTATTCTGCTCCTAAACAACTCCCATTAAACTGTCTTTTTTCTAAACCCAGGTGGGGATGGGTTTTGTCCTCTATTAAACTCTGTATTTTCTTCAATTTACGTACATAACTAATTTAATCCAGAATCAGCTCCTCTCTTTAAAGAGTTTGTGCAAGCTTACTGTGAGCAGGTTGGATGCGCTGCTGTTTGGTGGCTTCTTCCCAACGCTGGCACATCCACCACCTGTAATCAGTCATTCTCTAAAGAAAAAATGGTGGGAAATTACTTGCTTCCCAGTGGACTCATCTCTATATTCAGAAATATACCCCAGGATACCTTCACATAGGAAACTTTGCACCATTTCCTTCTTCACTCAGCACTGTGGTTAAAATGTGTCATTTAAAGCCACTTTGACCTTTACGCATCTTCCAGTTATGTCACCTGTCAGCAGTGAGGCAAATTTGTTAGAAATACCTGTATGTTCCTTGAATTGCTGCAAAAATGAAGAAACTGTCCCCCTGATTTGCTACTTGATTTGTTTTTGTATTGCTATTACTAGCATAATTTTGGATCTGAGAAAAGCCAAATTTATAACCAACCTCTCAACTATAGCTTGACTTTTTTCTTCATCTGTAAAACAGAGATAGTAATATCCAGCATTTGTTGAGAGCCAGTCTGGTCTATATTCATCTGTTTAATCCTCACAGCCGAGTAAAATGTAGACTGTTCAGTTTTCCTTTTTATGTGTACGAGAGGATTAAGGTTGGGAGGAAGTAATTGGCCGAAGTCATGCAACATAGTTGCAAAGCCATCAAACCCAGGTGGTTTGGGTTGAATTTGATGGTCTCTAAGTCCACTTCTGCCTTTAATTTTCTGTGATTTTGAGTAGAGGTCTTTGGCTAGTGAAAAGTGCAAGGAAGAGGAAGATGGCCTGTGGTAGATGTCCAAGCAGTGCCGTGTGTCTGAGATGGCTTTGGGAGCACGTCCTGGGAAGGGGGTGCTCTCCCCCCTTTTGCTGTTCCTCAGCTCACAGCAGTCAGCTTCGTGGAAGATGACATTTTAATTTGTAGATCTTTAGGATGATGATGTTAGCTAACACCATTGTGCGATACAGAGAAAACAAGAGGGTTCTCTCCTAATTCCATTTTACCTATTAAGTTTCATCTGGGGAAGAAATATAAACATAAGCATATAGGATGGAACCATCTTCACCAGTCAGATGGCAAGGTGACTCCACTAAGGTCACCCCCAGTTACTAGTAATTGCAGACACTACCAGGGTCCTAGAATTTAGTGCCCTCTGAAACAACACAGTGCCTCCCTTTGTAGACGATTAATCTTTAACTAAATTGCTGGCCTGTTTAAGAAGATTGTGACTTTTACAGCTGCTTAAATTTGTTCGGAACTTCTGTTTACTTTGAGCCTGCCTACCTTTGTGGTGTTGTCTGTGGAATTCAGAATCTGGAAGCTTTTTTAACACAATACCGCCACTCCCTGGTTGTTAGGTAGTATTGCATTAGGAAATCCAGTAGGCTTTCAACTCCCCCTTGTAAAGGCTGATAATTGGAGTCATAAATCTAGATACAAACAAACCAGAGCGGTAATTTTGCGTGGGTGGAATCATTAGATGTGCCTGGGTCAAAAGGTAGCACACAGATTATACCTCAAAGGTCACCAGAATCACGGGCTTGGTTCTGAAAAATGTGATTGCCAGTTCTGGTAACTTTAAAAGCTTCTTTCTTTCGCCCTTCAGGTTTTCGCATGTATTAGACATGTTGCAGAAATACACAGAAGTATGAATTTTCGAACAACTGTTGCTAGGACTGCTGGTAGATCTGAGTTCCTTTGTGCTCTGTTGAGTAATTCATTACTCTGAGTGTTGAGTCATCCTTCAGCAGCCCAGTGACTAGAAATCACTCATCTTTTGAAGGAAACCATATTCTGGAGGAAACATAACTCCTACAATTAATTCTCAGCAAAGTTGTTGAAATTGTCTGTGAGTCACTGGTTACGGTCACCTACTATCACAGAAGACAGTACTCCTGGGCACCTGCTCAGCTCCAGATGCGTTTCCATCTTTGTAATTCTTTCATGAGCCCTTTAGGTAGGTTTCAATATTCCTATTTTACAGTGAGGGCAGACTCAGAGGATCTTAGAAATGTGCCCAGGGTGGTGTGACCGGGAAGTGATGGAGCTGGGATGTGAACCTTGACGGATTTTCCTGTGTTCTTATCTGTAGTTCACGTTCCCAGCCTGGTAATGCTGGAACCAGGTTTTAGTCTTACTGTTCTGGTTTAGCAGTCCTTAAAAAGGAAACTATTAGGCCATTGGTTTTCATGTGGAGGTATTTTGTCCCTGAAGGGAATATTTGGCAATGTTTGAAGATATTTTGGGTTATCGCAATGAGGGAGGGGTTGCCGCTGGCAATTAGTGGTTGGAGGCCAGGGATGCTGTTAAACATCTAACAGTGCACTGGATAGCACCCCCCGACTTATCTGGACCAAAAGTCAGTAGTTTTTAGGTTGAGAACCCTGTGCTGGACAGTGTGTCACTTACGTGGGTTGGTCCCCGGATTGTCCCCTCCTTCCCACGATGGGTGCCTCTGTCTGGCCTTGCTCTCCAGCATCCTGCCTGGGAAGGAGGCCGTAGCTTCCTAGCTGCTCTCCCTCATCCTGGTGTTTTGTACCTCACTGCTTGTGGCTTTGGTCAGCAGTGGAGCTAGAAGGCCCATTTTCTCAGAGAGTTAGAAGCCCACGAACGGCCGGACTGTAGCCAGGATTCAGGTTCTTCTCAGTGTCACGCAGAGTGTTCTCCTGTGCTGCGTGCAGATGGACCCCGTGCACGTCTCATGTATATCTAGTGCTTTCTGTATGTTTGTGTCTTTTTCACTTGCCTAGAAAAAGAATCCTTTGCCTAGAAAAGAATCCACTGAAACGCCCCCCATTTTCCCCAGGCCGGACGGCACCCTCGGTAGCCCCTTGCTAGCAGTGACTGCTCCTGTCTGTAAACTCCTGCGCGTAGCGTGTATTCTTTTTATGTGGCCTGCTTATTAGTCCTCTTTCCCCGCCTGCCGTATGAACCTGTATAGAACATAGAAGTACACAGTGGGTAGAAACTAAAAAGCACCCGTTACGTAGGATTACCCTCTGCACCCAGCCTGTTTTACTCGCACTAGTAACGATGCCCTGCATCGTGGGCTTGTCTGCTTGACACAGGTAATTGCAGAGGAAGCATCTTCGTGTTTATGGCGGTTGCTTTGGAATAGCACTTCTTCACACTTGAGTTCAGTCCAGGCTTTTGGTGGTGGTTTTCTTTCTGGTCCGTTAAATGGCTTAAATATTTTTGCCAAGGTATTTTTGAACCCTTCTGGTCTTTCAGTGGAGACTTTATATATACCTTTCGTTTAAGAGTAAAGCGTCTTACTTCATTAGAGAAGGCTCCTTTGACATACTTTAGGATTTGACCACCTCCTGTATTAAACATGAAGCGTTTCTCGAAGTTTAGCTCTCATTCATTTCTGACCCACTGACTTGTGGTGAGAAGGTAGGGCCTGCTAAGAGGACTGGTACTGCACTCACCTTGGGAAGTCTCGTCTGGTTCTCACCTGGGCTGGGAAAGTGCTTCGTGAGGCCACAGGAAGCCTTAGTGTTCTGCCATGTCTCCGTGTTTCACAGCCAAGTGCAGAGAGATGATCTACCTTAAGCTGTAGCCTCACAGCCTTCAAATGGAAATTTAATCCTTTATTCTTCGGGTCAACTAGGAACAAAGTTAACTTGGAAGGATAATGTGGTTGAGTGTCCCACAAGCATTTACGGGACCCTGATCAACATAGAACTCTTCATTATTAACAAATATTTATGTACAAGGTGTTCTTTTCCTGGGAAATTTGAAGATAAATTAGACAAGGTCCTTGCTCCATGGACTCAAAAGTGCCTCCCTCACCACCCATAGTGTACGTATCAGTTTGCCATACAGCAGTAAGTGCAGACACAGTGGCAGTAGTGGAGGGACTGGCAGCCCTTGGAAAGATGGCTCTGTGCCAGGCCTTGCTGGGTAAGTTCGTTCTGACTTACTGCCCTTACTGGCCTTGACGGTGTGCTGACAGTTTATATTTACCAAAATAATTAAAACTTAAGATACAAGAAGAATGTATTTCTGTAGTGCTACGTAGTTAATGCTAAGCTAAAAAATATATAATATTGAATGAATTAATCAAACTGGGGAGATTACAGATTCAGGTTTAGTCTCCTTTGTTTCAAGGATAAGCTCAGAGGGGTTTTATGCCTGGGATTTTTCAAAAAATGAAATTTGACCTAACAATTGACGTACAAATTGTTGTGGTCTTGGTGATGATGTGTGTCTCCCTCTCTGCCTGTCCACCTGTTTCCAGGGGCTTTTGATCATGGGTATGGTATGCACCCGTGGGCACTCGAAATCCTGTTCCTAATGCTGTTAGATTTTCCTTTTCAGAGTAAGAGGGACCATCTACTCATGAACGTCAAATGGTACTACCGTCAGTCTGAAGTTCCAGATTCTGTGTATCAGCATTTGGTTCAGGATCGACATAATGAAAATGGTAAATATGTCTTTCTGGTTTGATTCTTATACTTTCTTAGCCTGGAGCAAAGTTCTTTCTTAAAAACATTCATTAAATGGAAATAACCGCTAGGAAAAATTTTCTCTAAAAAGCTTTTTATAAATAAAAATGTTATTGGAATGTTTTCTTTTTAAGGGCTCTTTCATTATTTTTGCCTTAAAAAAGAAACAACCTGATCATGTGCTGAGAGCATCTTCCCCTTAAACTTGGAGTAGAGATAGTTCTTTGGAAATGACAGTAACTCCATTTTTTATTTCCTTTTTCTCACCTAATGTTGAAGTAATGATACTTAAAGCCCTCTAGGATTGGATTTTCTTTCTTTTTTTCCTTTTCAATAATCTGTATTGTTGAACTTCTCTGCATTCAGGGTTGTGACACTTCAGTTATCAAAGCAAAACTTTCCTGATATTTTGGAATTCACATTTGAATATGACAAATGTGAATGAGCTAGAATGAGGTCGAGCATATTTTAAGAAAAAAATCAATAAAAAGGAGCCATTATACATCTAAACAAATGTAATACAGATTTTATGTATGTATCTCATGTGTCAATACAGTTATTGAGTAGAAACTGCAATGCCAGAGGGAGAAAAAAATAAAAGATGTTCTGAACTACCTTCCTGTTGTTCTGAAAGTCAATACTGAATTCCAAAATATTCGGGAAATATGCTCGACCTCATTCTAGCTCATTCACATTTGTTGCCCGTAAATTATACGAGTTAGAGGTTGTCACACCCCACTTGTAGATGAGGAAATTGAGGCTTAGAGATGCTAAGGGAGTTGATAAAGCTGCATGTCTTCTGAGTGGAGACTGGGGCAGGGGTCCAGTTGTGTCTGGCCCTGATGCCTGTCCCTTCCCGCCCTCTCACACTGCTTTGGTTGACAGGTTTTGAGTCAACAAATCAGCAGTAAAAACAGTTTTGAAGAATAATGTTCTTTTATATTTTACTTTTTTGAAACTTAAAATTTCTGTTAAAGCCATTAAATTGTGGGTTCTTATTTTAAAGAAGTAGCTTGGTTATTCTTCCAATGGAAACAGTGTGGTTTCTCTTTGTCCCAGCTGGGATATTTAACAGTAAAATATAAGATGCACAGGTTCACTAAAAATGTTAGTAGTTAAAAGTTGCTAAAATGCGATGGCTGTTTCTTCTCTTTTTCCTTCGATTTCCGTTTTGTTCTTAAAGCAGACTGGCTAAAGGGTAAAAACACGTCCAGGAGGGCACTTTGCTCCTGTGTATTATTCCTGTGTGTTATTCCTCTTCTCTGTTTTGCTGACCAGGCCTGGTTATTTATTGTGCATTTTATAATGGGAGGTGAACCTGAAAGAAAAGTTTTGTAGAATTTTCCTAGTTGTTTTGGAAAGCGCAATTTTAATACACTCTGAATGTTTTTTGTGGACAGACTCTGGAAGAGAACTTGTCATAACAGACCCAGTCATCAAGAACCGAGAGCTTTTCATTTCCGACTACGTCGACACTTACCACGCCGCCGCCCTCAGGTGGGTGCTGCGGGTGCGCGGCCTTCCTGCGAAGGGGAGGTTGTGGGGCGCGGGGGGCAGAGCGTCCGAGCTACCCTGGCCCCCTCTGATAATCACCCCGCCAGGCGGACCACCCCCGGGCCGCAGCAGCCACCCTCTGGGGTTGACTCTGCAGCTGTTAGGGTCTCGGGTATTCCCTCCATCTTCACGAATCTGTGTGTGTGTGTGGTGGGGGGGGGGGCACAACTTTTTTTTCTGTTTTGTTTTTCTCTTATGCTCTCTCTGTAGTTTTACGTCTTATTTCCTTGAAAATTGGTTGCTGGGTTATTTAGGGTGAGGTGTTAGGATGGTCTGCCAATGATTTCCTAAAGATTGAGTCACTGCCACTAGAAACGACAGATAAAGAAATGGATGAAACAAATGTGGCAGCAGGTAATTATATGAGAATCTAGGCAGCGTTTATTGGAATTTTCATTGACCTATTCTCTTAAATTTCTGTGTGTATAAAAAATTTCCTACTGAAAAGCTTGAGGGTAAGGAAAATATATTGAAGATTTTATTCTTAGGTTAACATTGCCGCCAGTCTTAATGTCAGGTAATAATGCCAAAAAGTGACCAGGAGCCCCTGCTTTGCACTGTCTGGTACTTTTTTTTTGTCCCTCTCAAGGAAAAGATACTTGTTTGTTCTGCTATATTTTGTATGTAAGTGGAAGACTCTGGGCTTCTTAAGTGGTAAAGGGAGTAAGACGAGTAGTTTTCTTACACCTTTTTCCCTGCTGGAAATAACAAAATGGTGAAAGAGCTACTTTCTTTGTTAAAGAATATGCTTTAGGAAAAGCCATGGGGATTTGATGACTTTTAGCTTAACTACAATGAGATACAGTTATTTCTCTATCGCTTTGCTCAGATGGTATTCAGTAAAGCCATCTGGAGTCTCTTGTGCAAAGCTACGTAGCTAAGTCCAGTTATTTCAAGGCAAATTAGCAGCAACTTTTGGCGGGGGTTAGGTTGGTTTGTTTGCTTTCATTTAACATATGCTGGGGATCGAACCCATGACCTCGTGCATGCTAGGCATGTGCTCTACCACTGAGCTATACCCTCCCCACCAGCAACTTTTAATATAGGGAGGATTTTGGCAAACTTTGGTTCAGATAGTCTTTCATATGGTATCTGTTGAACTACTCAGCTCAGCCATTGTGGCGCAGAAGCCACAGGCAACATGTAAATAAGTGAGGTAACTCTGTGCCAATAGAACTTTATTTGTGGACACTAAAGTTTGAATCTCATTTAATTTCCACATGTCAGGAGATGTGACTCTTCTTTTGATTTTTTTTTTTTTTTAGCCATTTAAAAATGTGGAAGCCATTAGTTCTCAGGCTGTACAAGAACAGGTGGGCCAGATTTGGCTTGCAGACCATAGTTTGCCAACCCCCCAAGGAGTGTATGTGGATAGATCTGGCTTCTTCCAGGACTTTAGATAAATATAGCGAATTCCTGTGGTGTTTTGTAAACTTCTTCCAATTCCCTCGAGCTTTCCATGTCTTTTCGGCGGTGGCTTTCCAATCTGAAACGTGCTTGCTGGACAAAGCGGAAAGCAAGCTAATGGGCGGTTGGGTAGATGGTGGAACCATTACACTTTTGGCTAAGTCAGGCGGCTTGATCCTGCGATTGTTTCTTCTCTGCTTTGCATACTTCCCCCTCTTCTTTCCATCTCATTTCATTGATCGAGGGGAATGATTTTAAGCAATTTAGACTCAAAGTTAAAACAAGTGAATATGTGAGATCTGTATCTCTGGTTATTCAATGTGCTTTCTTACATTTGCTTAAAATTAATATATTTGAATATTTATCAGACTATTTAGATTTGTGGAGTCATTTTATACTATTTTAGCATTTTTAGAAGAACCAGTTGTCTCAGATAATTCCAGCTGGACCTAGGTGAGTTTACTTTAACTAGGTTCACAATCAAGTATCTTCCGGAAATTTGTGTGATTGTATAGGTCACTACCTGTTTCCTGGCCACCAAAGAGCTGGAGTGCTGGAGCAGCCATTCCTTACCTTCTTTTCACTGTGCGTGGGACTAGAACCCATTTTGATTAGTTTTCCCTCCTGTGTTATTTCTTTAAAGTGACCATAGAGTCATTTTATAAAGCAGTCATCTTAAATTTGATCTTACAAACTTCAAACAGAGCCTCTCTTATGTGACTTGACACGTGGCTGTTTTTCAGAGACACCAGATGACAGTGGTCACATAGTCACTGAACGATCTGGCCTGGCGGCTGCTCAGTTAAGTACCTGTGGGTGTGCTGACAGTTGCCTGCATCTGGAGCTCACCTGCGCGGTTCTCACTGTTGCTTGGGAACCTCGCTGGTTCTCCGTGGCACAGTGCTCCCTGCACGGTCATCTCTGGTGAAAGCAGGCTTGAATAGCAGTGCCCCCGGGAGTCTCTGTTTATTCCTTTTCTCTTCACTAAAGCTAGATTACTTTTAAAGTATGGGGTGGGAGATTAGACTTTTATTTTTCTTACAACTTTCCTTCACCATTTATCCAAAGAAAGGGTTTTTTTTTCCTCCACAGATATAAAGTAGTATTGCCAAAAATAAATTCAGTTTTGAAAGAGGACAAATAAAATAGTCCATAGGCACATGAAAGAGGATCAAGTGAATGTAATGAAAATAACATGGAGGACAAAGAAAGAAAGAAACAGACTAATGGTGCTTAGGGCTTAGCCCCGTTCTTCTCGGAGATCAAAGTGCTCCATTGTGTGGACTCCCTGGGCTCACGGCAGCTCTGCGAGGGCCCTTGCCATTCCATTCACTCAGGAGGAAACTGATGTGTAACTTTCTCTTTCAAGCTGGTGGTAGGGTTGGGTTGTAAAGGAGAGAGAGCTTGGTCCTTTAGCCATCCCGAATCAGAAGGAAAACAAAGTCCTTGGCAGCCTCTCTGTGTAGATTGAGATTGTAGCATGTCCCTACCCAGGGTACGTTCACTCCCAGAAGAGGCAGTGTAGAATCCGTGCTGAGGTCCAGCAGTACCACTCTGCCGCTGTTTGCATTCTTGCCTTGGCTGTCTCTCATTCCTACCTTTCAAGGTAAGTTTCTACAGCTGTTCATTTTCTTTTCTTCGTTACATTTATCAATAACCATATAGCAATACTAAGTTAGTTATCTTGAGTAGAGTCTTTCTGAGTTCTCCTTATTCCTAGAGAAGTATTTTTGGTTGACACTGGTATAACAGAAAAGGCTCCAGATTGAAATCAGAAGACGCCAGTTTGACTCCTGGCTCTGCCACATTGTTTTATGACCAAGGTCAAGTTTGTTAACTTTTGTGCCATCTTTTTGACAGACTTTTAAAAAGTCACATGACTAAGTGACAGAACCCTGAACTGGCTCTATACCAGTAAGATAAGGGGCGTGAGGAAGCCTCTTGCAGAGTATCTCACACTCAGGAGCATGAGTGGTGCTTATGCTCATTGAAGTGGAATTGGATTCTTAAAGGCATAAAAGGAGGAAATGAAAAAGTGAAATTAAGTATAATTACGTGTTGAGTTATTGGTGGTACAGTTACTCAGCATCTGTTTGTTTCTCGGTGGCCTCTGGGTTGGGCTGACTGTGCACTCAGATTGCTTTAGGCACGGGGAGTGGGGGTTGTTTAGCACAGGGAGCCATTCCAGATGCTCTGGGAATGAGCAGACTGGCTTTGTTAAGCTAAATAAAAATTGTAGCTTGCATTTGTTTGCTATGTTAGTTTTTTCATCCTAAGGATCACATTTCATTGATGATCAATGATCTGGAGAGAGTGCTTTGTGACTGACTGTGAACACATGACCTGGGCAACATTTTCAGGTTTGCTGTGCACTTGTAACAGTGAATTCTCAAGTATTGATTGTGGAGGGCCGGCAGGAGATCATAACTGTCTCGTCAGCTTGAGGGCTGTTTTCCAACCTTATAATTATCTGCTTCCTATTGGGGAAAAAAAATATCCTAAGGTAGGTCAGGTCATTAAGCTATCATCGTACCTAGGAATTCATATTAATAGGAGTATGTTGTAGAGTGAATCTTCTGGAAGCCCAGGGGCCAAGAAACCCTCAACTAGGTCTGTAGGGCTTCTAATTGCCCTCTTTCCATCCCGAATCAGTTTCTCTCTTTACTTGGTAATGGCGCTAGAATCATGTATGTATAGTGATTGAAACAGATGAATTACATCTTTGTGCAGTTCCCCCGCCATTCCTTAGAATTCACAAAGTTCCTGTAGCTCCTGCAAGTTCCCTGGGGGTTGTCAGGAAGCCTCGGAGCTCTTAGTTGTGCAGCTTTCATTATCCTGGCTTTAATCTACAGTTCCTTTTATATATGAAATAAGTTTGACCTGCAGCATTTGTATTGTTTTGTCTATACATGTGTATTACTTGATTAGACACCATAACTTGTCACTTATTTATTTATTCAGTCATCATTTGAGACATTATTGAGCTGCTAGTATTGGAAGGGCTCTGTAGGTGCTGGGAACACCTGAGGAGCATTCTCTCTGCCCTTGACTATGTCACAGTCTTTTAGAAATTCTTTTATTTGGAGCTACTTTTGGAAACATAGGAAAGTTGTTAAGTACTGAGTTTCCACATATCCCTCTCCCACCCAACCTTTGTTGGTGGTGGCATCTTACGTAACTACAATGCAGTTATCAGAACCAAGAAATAGCATGAGAGCAGCAGCATTGAACTGAAGACCCTGTTTGAATTTCATGGACACCTTCCTTCATTGGTCTGCTAGAAACGAAATACCATGGACTTTGGTGGCTTATAAACGACAAAAATTTCTTAGGGCTTTGGAGCCAGAAAGTCCAAGATCAGGGTGGCAGCATATTTGAGTTCTGGTGAGGGCCCTCTTCGTGGTGCAGACTGCTGGCTTCTCCGTGTGTCCTCACATGGCCTGAGCAGAGAGGATACTGCCAGCTCAGCACCACCAGATTCCTCCCTCACCCCCTTATCTGTGACTTCTCTCCTCAGTCCTGAAAAACTCAATTCTTACTGTTCAAAATACATTTGCTTATTTTTATTCAGTTCTGCAATACATGTAACTTAGTTTCAGAAATTGTAACCCATGTGCCTGTGAGAAGCACATTCACTGACTACATTGTCTTTAGTCATACATGGTATGCAGGCAAGATCGTGTTTTCCTAGCTCCTTAAGTGTGCTTGTGTTATTCATTTGTTAGACTTTGCATTCCATTTTTGGTTCCTCTTGGTTGATTTGGACTGTTTGTTTACTTTGTGGGTAAGGGAGGATTATGGGCTGTTGCTGTGGTTCTGAGGGTCAGAGCTGTAACAACGCTGCAGTCCTCACCCTGCTGCCGTGTTCCCGGCCCCCACTTCTTTCCCCCTCCTTCCAACCTTCCTGCTGTAGATGACTGATCACTTTACTTCTTAGTTTATCCTCCTTGCATTTTCTTTTCACAAATGAGCAAATACATATCTGTTTTCTTATAACTTCTTTTCTTTTGTGAAGGGTAGCATACTATCAACACTCTTGCGCTATGCTTTTTCTGTGGAGCAGCATGTTCTGGAAAGTGCTCCTTGTCAGTTCATAGAGCTCATTCTCCTTCACAGCTGCGTAAACTCCGTTGCATGGATGCACCTTGGTTTACTCACCTGCTCTCTGGTGTATGGGCATTTAGGCTGTTTCTAAGGTGTTTCAATTATGAATGATGCTGTGGTGAATATCAGCAATTGTATTGCCCTTCCCAGGGAACATTCTGGCATCGTTCTTGGTCGTCACAATGATGTGTGCGCGGGTGCTGTGGGTGGAGGCCTGCCATGCTCCTACATGCAAGACAGCACCGCCAGCAGAGGATTGCTCGGTGTGAGATGTCAGGAGTACTGAGACTGAGGACCCTGTCTTAACACGTACCTGATTTCCCATGCCTGTGTTTAGAGCTGTGGGTTGGTGGGGTTTCTATATGTTTCATCTATCAATTACTCAAGTTTATGGGTAAACTTAAATTTGAGTAATGAGAATAATGAAGAATCACTTTCCTTTAGTAATGAACACTGACGGAAATAACCTACTTCACGTAGCGCTGAATAGTGTACGGAGTTCCGTGGATTTCTTATTTGATCTTAATATGTTTATGAGATAGGCATAATAGGTTTATGTATACCTATTTAACTGACAGGGGCATAGCTGTTTCTTGTAGGCTTCAGGACTAAACTGTTTCAGACAGATGGGCGGTTAGTTGCAGGGTGAGTGCACTGTCCATCTAGGCAAGTTATCTTGCCTGCTTTTTCTTTCCCAGAAGCTCATTTTAGTTCCAGTTAAATACAAGAGGGACAGGTCCTGGGCCTGGGAAGTTGATACCTAATCCACATTTTCCTTTAATTGTATCTTGTTACTGACAAAACAGTGTGCCCAATAGACTTTCCATGATGATAAAAATGTTATATAAATCTGTGCTGTTTGATATAGTGGCCACTAGCTACATGTGGCTATTTATATTTACATCAATTAAGTTAAATAAAATTTAAAGTTCCGCTCCCTTCAGTTGTACCAGCCACATTTCAAGCGCTCACTGACCCTGCATTACGTCTGACCAGTAGTGCCCAAGGGGCTTCGAGAAATCAGTAGTATTTCTGTTTAATTTTAAAAATGGAAATTGAGCTCATCTTACCTTCTGCCCACGCCTGAGGCTTTGGTCACAGATGACTTAAGCCCTGCGGGAAGGGAGGACGTTGCTTTTTAATTTGGTAGGAAATGAACGAATGTCCATCACCATGTTGACACCCCTTAGTTTCTTTCACTGACGCCTTAGCCATGAGCTGGTGTGCATGTTGTTAACGTGCCGACTCCTGGAGTCTTTGTGGGAAAGGACTGCCTGTTCAGCAGTGGGAGGTCACACCCCTGGAAGCATCCTGCCTGTGCTGTGCTGTGCCTTTGATCCTCCAGGTCCATCTACTCTGATCGCAGCTTTGGGCTTCCCCTTGCCAGCTACCTTCTGTGACTGCTGAGGGAGTTGAAATTCTTAAAACCTCCCTGCTTTCTTGGGAACTCTCTCACCTCTCCTGTGTGTGTGTGTCTGTGTGTGTAGTGGGAAGGTAGGCCCTACTGTGTGGGATGATGTTTCTGACATTTACGTTTGGTACGTGGAAACACTGCTTAAGGAGTTCTGTGGTGGTGTAGAGTTTTCAGCTGTACTGTGGATTAGCTTTTTTGTTAGTAGATGAACCTGAAGGCCTTATTTCTCTTTACTGCAATATTTCCATGGGAAACTGTTCCAACTTACAGTCGTTTAATGTTACCTGAAAATTTGGGAAGAGTGTGTTTGTAGTCAGTATCTTTTTTTTTTTTATTC